AAAAAAAAAAAAAAAAAAAAAAAAAAAAAAAATAGAGAAGAAGAAGAAGAAGATGATGAAAATTTTCAGCATGAAGAAAATGGATATTTTAATAAATTAAATGAAAACATAATTAATTTAATCAATTCTTATAATAATATATTTTTTAGTAATAGCTGTGTTTTTATACAAAGAGTTTTAGTAATTCCATCTTCAGATAAATATGACGATATAATTATGATGAAAATAATGGAAATAAATGATAACTTTTTATATAAAAATAAAAATGAAGATATTAATAAAAATAATAACATATCTAATATCTCAAAAGATAAACAAATTAGTAGGATAGAAGAATTTAAGAATCAAGAAAAAAAAAATAATACAGGTCTTGGATTTTTATTGAAACCAAATATTTCTTTTATAAAAAATTCTCCATATTATGATTCATCAAACAATTCTGAATTATCTATTTTGAATAATAGTGATACCAAACACATTAATGAAAATTCTTGTTCTGGATTTAATGAAAATGAAAAAAGTTTAAGTAATAAAAAAAATAAAGATAGCAAAAATGTAGTTAATAATAAATTAAGAAAAAAATATTCATCACACTTTTTGAGAATGTTTAATAAAAGTTTAGCAAAAGAATACAAATCATTAAATGTAAATTCTGATAGTGATGATTCTGATGATTATAAATTGGAAAATTCTATTAAACAAAAAAATAATGATATGACTGATAATTTAAATGATATGGAAAATATTTCAAATTCTGATATAAATGAAATAAAAAAAAAAAAAAATGATAAACATTTTTCTTTTATATGTGATAATTTTCATAATTTCAAAATAATAATTTTTCTTCCATCTATAAAAAAGCATTTTAATATACAATATAATAAATTTTTTCAAGCTATAATTTTTAATATTTTTTATATTTTTATATTTTTTTTATATGATTTATTAACAAAAGATAAAATGTGGAAATATATTCACACACTTATTGATAACACCAACTATGAAAAAATAAATGATCAAAAAGTGAGAAATGATAGCATATTAGAAGAAAGAAAAAACAATAGATTAATTAAAAAAAAAAAATTTAATTTAAAAAATAATAGTAATGAAAGTATGGTTGATAAATTAAATACACATGAAAATGTAAGTAACTCAAATAATAATATATATAACAGTATAAAAAAATATTACAATGATATAAAAATTAGTAAATTAGATAAGGAAAATCATATAAGCACTAAAAAGGAGAGTTTATTATATGAAGGAATTTATAAAATTGCAAAATCTAGTACAAATGAAGAAAATGAAAATAATAAAAAAGATAAATATGAAGAAGACGAAAGTGAAGAGGAGGAAGAAAATGAGGAAGAAGATGATGATGATAGTGATGATAGTGATGACAATAGTGATGATGATGATAATGATGATAATGATGATTATGATGATGATGATGATTGTGATGATGATGATGATGATGATGGTGATGATAATGATGACGATAGTGATGATAATGAAGATGAAATTGAAGATAATGAAGACGAAATTAAAAGTTCTGAAAATAACATTGAAGATGAAAAAAAAAGTATAGAAGATTATGAAGGAGAAGGGAAAAAAAAAAGAAAAAAAAGTGTCAGAAGAGAAAAGAAAAGAAAAAGAAAATTTTCAAAAGTAAAAAATTATACATGTCGAATAAAAAAAAAGGAGGGAGATATATTTTTATTATTAGGAAGTCCATTAGATTCTTTAGAAATATATATGAATTGTTATGAAATAAGTAAAATGCAAGATGATTTTATTTATGAAGGAAATATAATTTTTTGTATTATTTTATCAACATATTTATATATAGTACAAAATTGGATAAACTTCTGTAAATTAAATAATAATGAAAATTATCCTTTCAAGTTTGCTGAAATTATTGAAAATATGATTTTACAAACTTACGAAAAATTATTACCTAGTAAAAATACCAATTATTCTAATTTTTTTTTTGATACTTCTTATAGTGGATCATTAAAAGAAAAATCACATAATTATAATTTTCATTTTTCTTTGTATAATAATGATCATAGCAACGATGCAACAAGTACAACAAAAAATATAAATTTATTCATTAATTTATTAAATGATAATGACGATAATTTTAAAAGAGAAGATGATCTTATGGATATTGAAGATTATTATTTTTTTAATATATTAATAAAACCACATAATATATTGTTATATTTAGTTAGTTTTATAGAATATAAATTGAATGAAGTATTATCTAATTTTCAGAATTCATCTTGTGCCCATGAATATTTTTGTGATTATTTATTATGTTATTTAAATTATCTTCTTATGCTAAAAAAAAAACGTTATATTTTTCTTTTATCAAATAAATATTCTTATGTAGTTGAAAAATTTGAATATAATCTGTATATAAAATATTATATGCAATTAGCATTGATATATAAATATATAGGAGCTTTTAGAAAATTTTCTTTTACTATATATTTATTATGCTTACGTTTTTTTTTAAATAAACAATTTTATTTATCTTATTTTTTTCTTAATAATCTATTACCATTTTATAATTTGCCTAGTATTCATTTCAATTTTAGCTTTAGAAGAACAACAAAAAGTAACGAGAATAATGATTTTAACAGTGATGAAATTTTACAATTTCAAGATAATAATTGTTTTAATCATTACATTCATAATATTTTTGTAAATAGAACAAATAAAATTAATGTTCCCTTTTATTGGCTTAGAAAAACTGAGCAAACTCTATCTAAAGAAAATGTATGTGTGGAAAAAAATGAAAATAAAGTCATAAATAGTAATAATGATAATAATAGCAATAATAATGATAAGAAAGAATTTATAAGACAGGATAGTATAAGAAGTGTTATTGATATTTATATAAATAACAAGCTAGAAAAAACTAATATGCGACCTGAAGAAAACAAAAATATTTTAAATACTTATGAAACTAATTTGATTAAAAATTCTTCTAATATTGAAGATGATAAAAATATAATAGAGGAAAGAAAAAAAGATAATTGTTATAATTATTACATGGAAAATGTTTTAAAAAACGTATATATATACAGTATATTTGATAATCTATTTAACTCTTCTAATTTTTTTAATGTAAGTAATTTATTTAATTTTTGCTCTCGTGATATAAGTAGTAAAAGCATATTTCACTTAAATAAACATACTAAAAAATTACAAATATATAAAAAAAATAAAAAAACATATAATACTTTGTTGCAATATGATATTCTTTGTTTTCTTAGTTCCATATTAAAAGAAATAAATTATTCAACAGATTTGGCCTTTTGCAATTTGTTAATGTTGCTATTTTTACATAAACATTTATCAAAACAAAAGCAGAAGGAAATATTATATACTATATATGAAACTTTGAATAAAAAAAAAAAGTATATTTATTTTCCACCTTTTATAAATTTAATATTAGATGAAAAAAGAAAAAAAAAAAATAGGAATTACTTAAGAAAGTTAGATGAAGATAATAATTTTAACAACATTTCTTCATCTACTGATTCTTCTAAAATGTATGATTTATCAACTGAATCATCTTCTTCTTTTGATTTTATTTCTTTCTCGAACGTTGATTCTCATAAAAAAATTACGTATGAGGAGAAATTAAAAAGTAAAAAAATTAAACCAAAAAAAAAAAATTCTAAAAAAGAAAACAAACTGCATTTCCTATATGGTTTTACAGAAGGAAGATGTTCTCCATTACCAATTCTAGTAAATATAGAATATGTAAATAAAAGTTATAATAATGAAAAGATATATAAAAAAGTGGAATTAAGTAATACAAAAAAAAAAGAGGCAGATATTGATTTAAATGAATATAAAGATGTCTTTAAATATAATCCTTTTACAGAAGAAGAAAAAAATGTGAAAATTCAAAACATTTGTGCTGTAAATGAGATAAAGAATGTAATTGTAACTTTAAAAAATACTTTATCTATTAATCTAGTATTAAATAATGTTGCCTTAATATCATCAGGTATATCTATAGAGAACTATCCTACTAGTGTAATATTGTTATCAAAAAAAAAAAATAATTTAACAAAAGTTCAATTATCCTTTAAAGCAAAAGAAACCGGAATGCTATTTCCTTTAGGTATTTCTTATTGTATTAGTTATTTTTATTTTAATCAATATCTTCTATATGATACATCTATTTTAAGGAAATATTTTATGGATGATAATTTTTTTTATAAATATAACAAGAAATGTAATGATAATTATGAGAATGAAATACGTAAAGTTTCTGAAAATACTCAAAGTTTTGAATATATTAACAAAGAAAATAATGATATTATACAAAAAAATGCATTATATAATTTTTATTTAAATCACATTAATTCGCATGTTCATGGTATAAAAGAAAAAGAAAACATCAATTTATATTGTAGTGAAAATGATAAAGTATTATATAATAAAATAAAATTATTACATTACGTTTTTAAGTTATCCAATATATGTTCTATTTTTGTAATTGATAATTATTTTTCCCTTAAATCAGAAATTAAGCTTTTTAATTTTAGTAAATATATTAATATTAAATCCTTGTTAAATGATAAATCATATTTGAAAAAGTTTTTTATTAATTCAAATAAAGAAGTGTTATCAAAAGAACAAACTATTTTAAATGATGAAAAAGATATATTTCAAAGAAATCATTTGCATGAAGAAAAAATTGAAGGAAAAAATTATGAAAACAAGGAATCTAATAGGAATAACAAAATTAATTTAAAAAATTCATTTTTAGATGAAAAGAAGAAATATATTAATGATAAAAAAAAATCCTGTAATAATTATGATAATGAAAATATTAATAAAACAAATGAGTGCTTAACTACAAATATTGATATAAAAAAAAAAAATCGAAATTCAGATAATGTGAATAATTTATGTATGAGTGATGTTGTAGATAAAAGCAATTTATTTAATGAACATAATAAAAGTGATTGTATTGATAAAAATATAAAATATAATAGTGAGAAAGATGATGTAGATTTTAACAGAAAAAAAAATGTGCAAAGTTGCAATTTATCAGATTTTACTAGAAGTTTATCTATTAACAGTAAATGTTATTTAAATAAGAAAAGTTCAAAAAAAACTTCAATGTGTACATCATCATCAGTATTATCATCAGCATCAAAGTCATCTTCTTTATTTTTATCATCATCATTTTCTTCTAAATTAAGTGAAAAGGAGTCTTCATCAGAAGGTATTAACGATTTTCAATCTTCTAGTGGATCATTAGTTAATTTACAAAAGCCTTTAAATTATTATGAACTTAGAAAAGATAAAAGTGAGAATTTTGATGACATTAATGACAACTATTACTTTTCATGTGATCCAAGATATTCAGAATTATTAGAAGGAGAAATTAAATTTTTGTGTTTAATTTTTGAAAATAAAAGTAATATAAATATAGATTATATAAATATTACTGTTAGACATAATAATAAAATAAATGGAGATTATTTCATAAAATTTTTTTTTGATAATGCATTTTGCTTAAAAAGTAAACATGAAAATAATAAAGAAAAAATCATAAGAATAAAAAAAAACAAACCATTAAAAGTTAAAAAAAATTATTCTTTATATATTCCTATAAGATGTATAGGGTCCATATTAATAAATGAATGTGATATCAATATACTTTATTCTTCTAACAAAAATAGTTCATATTATGCCTTACAAAATCTAAACTTAAAAATTAATGTAAAAAAAAATATATCCATTGAAAATATATTTTATTTTCCTTATGTAAGCTTTAATTATAAAGATATATTAAATGAATTGTTAAATTCTAACTACTATGATTCTAATATTATTAAAAAATTAGGTTCTTTAAAAAGAGAGAATAATGAAAAAAGTTATGAAAATAATAAAGAGATAATTCACGATATAAATTTTTTAAAAACGAAAAGTTTTAAATATAAAGATATTAACATAGATAATTACCTTGAAAAGAAAAATACACAAAAAAAGGATAGCAATATTAATCGTAGCTTAAATTATAATGACAACTATGATAGTGATAATAATAATGATAAAATAAAAAATTTTAAAAATTATACTACCATGAATAATTTAGTTACAAAAGAAGATTCCTTTAATTCTTTTAACAAAATGAATGTAATAAAAAAAGATAATGATATTAATCAAACATATAAATACAAAGAAAGTTTAAATATTTGTACAGATAATAAATATATATTTTTAGAATTATATATAAAAAACTTCAGTGGTTATGTAAATTATTGTAAAACTAAAAAATTAAAAAGACGTCCAATGTGTATAGTTGATAAAGAAAATAATTTAAGTAAATGGATACTTTGGATTAAAAGGATAAAAAGGAAAAAAAAAATAATTTTTGAAAATGAGGAAGATATTTTAAAGTATTTTTTACAATATTTAGATTTTTACGTTTACTTAACTTTTTCAAGGCATAAAAAAACTGGAATTTTAAGTGTTTACAGTTCTTATTTAAATAATGTGCATATTCATAATAAAACAATAAGTGACTTTTTTTTTAATTTCAAAAAAAATAATAATAATAATAATAATAGAATAGAAAAAAATGAAACAGATAAAGAAGAAAAACATTTTTTTTTAAAATTAGATGATGAAGAGAAATTATACAAAAGAAATAATTCTCTTGGTGAAAAAAATAGGGAATCTTTCTTTTTATCAAATGGTTTAAATATTCTCAAAACATCAGTGAATAATGAAGAAGAAAATATTTCTTCAAAAAATTTAAATATAGAAAAATTTAGTAGATATTTGAAAAAAGAAGAAAAAAAAGAGGATAATAATTGTAATACTACTACTACTACTCATAATAATAATAATAGTGAGAATTTTCAGTTAAAATTAAAAATAAATAAATTATTTCATAACAGTTTCGTTAATGATATTTTTTATCCATATATATTAATAAAGCCAAAGTTTCACAATTGTAAAAAAAGAAATAGTGTAATTATACCAAAGTGTTCAAAAACATTAAATTTTACTGATATAAAAAAAATTGGTATAAAAAAAAAATATTTTGAATCTTCAGTAAATGAATTTTTCTGTGTGAAAATTTTTATAGAGAATTTATCTTTAATTGATTTGGGGAAATATACACTTATAATTTATCCATCCAATTTAAATTGTATAAAAATTATAGGAAGTTTAAATATAAGTGGATATCTCTACAAGGATGATTTCATTTTTTCAAAAAAAAATAAAAATGTAGACAATTTTCCAAATAAAAAATCAAGTAGCAAAAAGTTACATTTTTTGCACTCTTTTAATGTATATTCATTATTTACAGGTAAAGTTTTATTTTACATAGCTCTTTATTTTCATGATTTTCATACTTTGTTATTTTATCATGAGCCAATTTTAGTAACAGTTGTTTAAATTGAGAAAAAAACAAAACATATTAAACCATAATTTTTACATTATCTATATAAATATATGATATAATTAATATTCCTTTATGTATATAATTTATTTCTTCATATTTTTACATATGAATTTATTTGAGCTTTTTTAAGATTTTGTTTGAGATATTACAAATATTTTTTTTTCCGCTAAAAGTTATTCTTGTATTAATCTTTTGTTTTTTTTTTTTTTTTTTAATTTTGTCAATAATTTCTTTAATGTAAATTAAATGAAAAAAAAAAAAAAAAAAAAAAAATTCTTGAAAAAAAAAAAAAAAAAAAAAAAAAAAATATTTTCATATTTTGAATAAAACTATAAAAAAAAATTCATTTTGATTTAAAAGCATAAAAATAATTTTCTTATTGCTAAAAAAACAAAAAGATTTATATATATTTATAAATATTGAAAATAAAAAAAAAAAAAATTTAACAAAAATTATTTTATTTTATTTTGTTATAAATATATTTGAGTAAAGAAAAAGAAACAAATTTTAGGAAATAAATTAGTAAATAAAAAATACCTATATGTAAAATAAAAATGAATATATAAGTAAATAAATTTAATAGATATATCAAATAAAAAAAAAATTATTTTAATGATTTTGATATTTTAAATTATAGAAAATTAAGAAAAATAAAATAATGGATGACATAGTTTTACCAGGAGAAGTAGTCGGATGTGCAAAAGATTATATAAATGGTGAAAATACATATATATTAAAAGATGAAATAAGATCAACTATATTAGGAAGAAAACATATTATTGATAATGAAAATAAACAAATTATAAATGTAGATAATATAAAAAGTTTTGTAGCTTTACCAAAAACAGGAGATATTGTTATTTGTAAAGTATATAGAGTCACATTTAATATTATATATTGTAATATTATATTATCAAATGGAAATCCTTTAAAAAATTCATTTAAAGGATATATTAATAAAAGTGATATTCATATATATGAAGGTGAATTAGGAGATAATTTCGATTGTTTTAAACAAGGTGATATTATAAAAGCAAAAATTTTATCCATTGGTCAACATTCATCTTATAAATTATCAACAGTAGGTTCTGATTTGGGTGTTATTATTGCTTTAAGTGATAAAGGTTAATATGAAAAAAAAAAGAAAAAAAAGACATGTATATTTATATATTTATATATTTATATTTATATATTTATATATTTGTCTTTTAACCATTCTTGAAATTTTATTTTTTTTTTTTTATTATAAATATAGGTGAAATATTAAAACCAGTTGCATGGAACTTGATGGTTAATTTAAGTGATATGAGTTTTGAACAAAGAAAAGTGTCTAACGATTTTTCAATTCCCATTTAATAAATTTTAATTTTTTTTTTTTTTTATTATTTTTATTTTTAAATATATATTTTTTTGTGAACATTAAACTTATTAATTATTATATATTATATATATTTTGTTATTTATTTTTTTTTTTTGCTTTTTAATAAAGTTATTTTATTTTAATAATTATTTGATAAAAAATCATTAAAAAAATAGTTAATTAAAAAAAAAAAAAAAAATGTAAACAATATATATTAATTAAAAAAATATATTATTCCTTATTGTATTAGTAATTTTAAAAAGTCTGAAGAAACTGTATTGCTCTTATCAGTTTTTTTATCTTCTTCCTTTAAAGTTACAAATTTTAATTTATTAGAATTTTTACTTGGCGATTTTTTTTTTTCTTTTTTATTTTTTTTTGAAATAAATTTGCTACTAACTGTTTTCTTATTATAACCTTCTTTATCTATATTTTTTTCTAAATATTTTTCATAATTTTTATACATATTTTTTAAAGCAAAATTAAATCTATCCTTCCTTGAAATATTTCTATACAACACAGATGACACTAAATCGTTCCATGTAAAATTTTTTAAGTACTTAATATGCCAAAAATTTTCTCTAAGTATATTTTTTCTTTTCTTTCCTCCTATCATTTGATTGTTTAGTAATTTTTCTACTTTTATAGCATCTTTCTTATCGTAAAATTCTATGTATCCATCAGAATATTTTATTCTTTTACTATTTTTTTCTTTGGATACAATATTAATTTTTTCATCTTTTATTTTATTCAAATATATTTTATCAATAGAACCATATTTACTAAAAATTTCTTTAATTTTTGATGGAGTTAAGCCAATTGGTATATGGGACAAATATATTATTCCTCTTTTTGATTCTTCCTTCTTTACTTCTAACCACAATTTATCATTGAATTGAAATCTTTCATCTTCTTCATAACTTGGTTCTTTTTTAAATATTTTTTTTTCTTTATTTAATTTTTGATTTTGCTCAAATTTTACATTTGTACATAATTTATTCTCATCCTTCACATTTATTATTTTCTCCTTTTTGTTATTTAATTCTTTTTTATTTTTTACATTTTCTTCAAAACAATTCTTTTTATTTTTTTCATTATTAAACTTTAAAACATTTATTTTATATTCTTTTTTTTTCTTTAAATCTCTGTTTTTCTTTTTTTTAAATGATTTTTTGTCTATTTTTTTTTCATTTAATTGATTTTTTATATCTCCATTTTTTTTAAATTTCAAAATTTTTTTCATTTTTATGTATAACTTTTATTTTTTACATGGTTTTTTCTTAATAAATTCTTTTTAGAATTTTTAATACATTTTTTTTTTAATATAAACTTTACGTGTAAATTACGTTTATTTATTTCATCTTATATTTTCAGATTAGCCTTAAATTATATTTTTAAAAATAATTTATTTTATGCATATGATTTTATTTAATAAAGAAAAAATTTTTTTTTTTTTTTTTTTTTTTTGTAATGTTCTATATATATATATATATATATATATATATATTATTTTTACTTTGTAAATTGCAACACTTTTTTTTTTTTTTTTTTTACTTTTTTTTTTTTTTTATAATTCTGTTAAATATACATATATATATATATATACATATATTTTTTTTTATATTTTAACATATTTTTTTTAAATTTTGATATTTTCGTATGCATCTTTTTTTTTTTTTAAAGTTTATTAATTTTTAGCCATTTAAATAATATATTATATATATATGAATTAATTATTTTATCTGAATTTAGGATATTATAAAATGGAAAATACTCAATATTATAATAGACTTTTTGATCTAAATTTATTAGCAGAAAATGTGTTTTGCCAAAATAAAAAATTGTTGCTTATCGACAATAATTTAAATGGTATTAGAGAAACGAAAAGAGGATATAGAAGAAATGAAATTTTTAAAAATAAAGGACATCTTAGTGTATATAATAATATATTTTTATTATTAAGCAAAAGTCAAATAAATGATCATTTAGAAAATGTATAAAAACAAATATAAAAATATATATATATATATATATATATATGTATATTTTCTGTTTAATGCTATATTTGCATATAATAGATATTTTTTAAAAGAAAGATTTATTATTTTAATTACTCATTACATTTTTTTTCTTTTTACAAAATAGGTAGAAAAAATTCTTTTAGAAAGAAGAGATAAAATAAGAGATAAAAGAAAATCACTAATTAAAGAACTTATAGAATTAAATCCAAGCGTAACTGAGATGCCACTTGAAGAGGCTAAATTTTTACTCAAATAATGAACTTTGTATCTAAAAATAATATATGTGTATTTAAAATATGAAAATATATTAAATAATCTTGATATTTAGTTTTAATTCAGAAAAATTACATGTTTTTAAAAAAGAAAAAAGAGATAAAAATTAATGATATTGTCAAGAAAAGTAACAAAAAATTTTTAAATGCAAACAATTTTATAATTATTAAAAAAATTATTATTTTATTTGATCAAAAATTAAAAATTAAAAAATTATGGAAGAAAATAATATAAAAAAAAAAAAAAAAAAAGAGAAATATAATATAAAGTGGAGTTAAAAAAGGGATAAAAATAATGAAGAAGTTAATTACTATACAAAAAATTTCTAATTTTGATTTTTAATTAGCTTTATATGTATATATATATATTTCACTTATATATAAGACATTGACACTATAAAGAAATAAGAAGAGACGGAACAAAAGATTAATATAAAGTTATATTTAGATTTTCATATTATAAGAATATCTTTCATTCTATATTGTAATTTATATACTATTTTATTTATTTATTATTGTAACATAATGAAGATAAAATGTACAACAAATACTAAAAATAAAAAGCTAAAATTCAATTTTATTATGCACTTTATATGATTCTTTGGTTTCAGTAACCCAATATTCTGTACCATAATCTTGGTAAAAAATAACTTGTTTATCAGAAATATTCTTAATACATTTTTTTTTCATGTTTTTATATTTCTCTTCTATTTTGTATGTTGGATACTCTTGCAAATAAAAATCTTTCATTTTGTTATAACTTTCTAAGTAATCTTCATCATTCTGTATATCATACCTAAAATATATAAAATAAATTTTAGAAACATAATGAAATATATTTAATGAGTCAAATGTAAATATGTGAGAGAAAATTTTATTATGTAAGCATAATGAATATAGTATAGGAATATAGAATTAAGATATTTTTTTAGTATATAGTTCTACAGAATTTTCAGATATTAAGAAAAAATATTTCTAAATTATTAAAAGGAAAAAATTAAGAGAATAATTTTTAAATAAAGAAAATAATACAGAAATAAAACAATATTATTGATATAAATAAAAAAAAAAATAAAAAAAAAAAAACAAAAAAAGAAATAGAAAATATATATACATATGTATATTGTATTTTTTTTTTTTTTTTTTTTTTTAATCTAAATTTTATATTGTAATTAACAGAATTTCTTACCATCCGGACACGTGAACTTTTGGGTTGTAAAATCTATTCCTTGCATAAGCCGACATATCACATCTGCAAGTATTGGATTTCGACATTTTTTTAGATTTTTGAAAATATAGGACTTTATGCTTTTAATTAATTATAAATATAGAATAAAATATTAAAAAATTAAGAAATAATATATTTTATTTAAAGAGTAAAGTTATTATTTTTTTTTTTTATCAAATAAAAAAGGAAAAATATAAAGAAAATATTAAACTTTTATAAAGATCTGCAAGTTTCATTTTTTTTTATTTCATTAAATCAATATATTGTTGAATCTATATTTTTAAATACCTTATCAAAGAACAACAGGACTTGAATAATTATTTTAATTTTTATTTTTGTTTTATCTTTTTTTTTTCATGCATGGCTTGATTTATAGCTAGCTAAGCTATCATTAAATAAAGTATAATTAAAATATATGTATATGTATGTTTATATTTTTTTTATATTTACTGAAAGATTATTCTTAAAAAGAAATATAATAATTATTTTTTTTTAATTTTATGCACGTTAAAGGAATCAAATGCTATTTTTTATAACGTGTTCACAAGAATTATTCTTGTAATAATATTTTGCAAGTTTTTTTTTTTTTTTTATGAATAGTTAATATTTTTTTTAATTTTATATAAGAGGATGCATAAAAATCCACAAAGAATTAAAAAAAAAAAAAAATAAAATAAAATAAAATAAAAAGTAAGATATAATAAATAAAAGGACCTTGTGTGTGCTAAAAAAAAATTTTTTTTAGTTTTAAAAGTAGAGAATATCATAAATACAAAAACTTACATTTATATATAAAGTCATACAAATTTATGTTTTGATATTTTTATAAAATGAATTATAAAACAATATCATTATAATTTAAACATACGTTTAAATATTAAATTATTTAATAATATAAATAAAAAAGAAGAAACAATAAATATTTTATCTTTTGTATAGTAATATTTTTTTAAAATAGGTGCAACTTTCGTTTGAGGCACAAATTTTTTTCCTAATTTGCGTTAAAACATATATGAAATATAAATTATATAGTAGCATTATAATTTGTTTAGAATTATAATAAAATTATTTATTTAAAAGTCTAAAAAAAAAATTATAAAAAATTGTAATATTTTAATTTTTAGTTTATAATAACGAAATATGCTTTACCTTTAAGATGAAATGTTAGGATTTCAACGTAAATAAATTGTAAAGACTACTCTAGAAAAAAAAAAATTGTACTATTATAGCTTTATTTCGTATATATTTGCACATACAACAATTTTGTTATCGTATAAAATAGATATACATATAGTTTTTTATTTTTATTTAAAAATTTTCAAAATACTTTTAATTAATATTTAATATTTATAAAGGCATTTGTGCGCACCATTTCAATTTATTTTGTATTACTAGGAATTTATTTTTATATAAATATATAAAATGCCATATATATTATTAAAAAGGAAATTTAAATATAATAAAAATAAAACTTACATTATTACATTAGGAAAAAAGATAAAAAAAAACTATACATAGTTAATAACTCTTTATAACACATGAAAAAAAAAAAAATAAATAAGAAATTATTAAACAATTCATTTTTTTTTAAGAATTATTAGTAAAAAATAAGGAAATTGAAAAAGAGAATGATTTAAAAAATTAAAGTTTTTCCTAAAAATTTTGTGAAATAAATTCATTAAAATATTTTTTATATATAGCATTTGAACCCTATTATTAATTAAATAGTATATAAAACATTGAATAAACATAAGTATTTTCTAGGAGCTGCTATTTTTTTTTTTTTCTATTGCATGAATAATTAAGCTAATAATGATATATAAAGGGATAACACAAAGCATTTAAGTATACATGAATTTTATGTATTTTCATAAAGAATAAATAATGTATTAAATTTGAAATCATGAAAAAAGTTTTATGTTTAAGAAAGAAACAAAAAAAAAAAAAAAAAAACCGTTCTAAAATATATAGCATTTACTAGAAGTGAAATTAACTATAAACATAAATATATGAATTTAATGAATGAAAAAAAAAAATCGACATTAAAAAAATTGTAGTGTAAATTTTATAAATGTAATATTAAATTTATTTTTTAAATAAAAAAAAAAACCAAATATTTTATGAATTTAAGGTTTTCAAGATTTCAAAATATTTTATTTAACTACACAGAAGTGGTTGATCCCAAAAAAAAAAAAAAAATTGATATTGTTGGTAAAAAAAAAAAATTAACAAAATTATTGATCAAGATAAAAAAAAAATTTATAAAATTAAAATTGTAGAATAGATATACATTAATTAATATAAAATTTATAATAAAAAGTGTTAAAACAAATTAATTAAAAAAAGTGTTTGCCATTATAAAATTTTGATTTAAATTTTAATATATACAAAAAAGATATTAAGAGGAATATTTTAGTTAAAAAAAGTAAACGCGTAAATGTATGCATTTTTGCAAATTTTTAAAAAGAAGTTAATTTTAAAATGAGAAGAAATATTTTGTGTATAAATGAAAAAATATGTAATTTGCTTAAAAGTAGGAAATTAAAAAATGATATATCCTATAATTTAAAAAATAATTTTTCATCCTATTCGAATAAAAATACTAATATAAAAACATATATATTATGGAAAAATAAAAATGAAAAGGAATTTTTAAATAATTACAATTTTCTTTTATTCATGTCTTTAATGTGTGCAACAGCATTTTTAAATAAAAAATTTAAAGGTATGAGAAATAACTTGGTTACTTGTACTAATTTAGAAAAAGTATTCTTAATAAAAAAAGATGAAATAAAAGATGGGGAAATGAAAGAAGTAAAAGTTCGTAATGAAAAAGATTGTGTATTATTAGTGAATGTTAATAATAATTATTACTGTTTAGGTCCCAAATGCCCACATTATAGTGCACCATTAAAGACAGGTGTATTAACAAGTCAGTACATTACCTGTCCTTGGCATGATGCAAAATTTGATATAAAAACAGGAGAATGTATTAATGGACCTTCTTTTGATGATATTCCTAAGTATGAAGTTGTTGTTGAAGATGATAAAATTTATGCATATTTACCAGAAAAATTAGAAATATTTAAAGAAAAAAAAATATGTTCATGTAAAGATACATGTGAAAAAAAATCAATTTTGATTATAGGGGGAGGTGCAGCAACTTTAGGTGCATTAGAAACATTTTTGAAATTGGGATATAATGGAAAATTGATTATATGTAGTAAGGATTCTTATAAACCATATGATAGACCAACTTTATCAAAAAATTTATCAAATTACAGCAAAGGTTCGGAATTATATGAAGAAATAAAATTAAAAGAAGATGAATATTATAATAAAGAAAATATTAGCTATATGAATGATGTGTGTGTAACAAAAGTTGATGAAGAAAATAAAAAAGCATTTTTAAGTAATGGAAAAGTAATAAATTATGATAAAATTCTTATAACCAGTGGTGTAGGTCCATGCCCATCACCAATAAAGGATGTAGAATCGAATAACTTACTTACTTTACATAATTTAAATGATAATGTGAAAATTTCAGGATTTGCAAAAGAAGGAACTAAATGCGTTATTATTGGTTCTTCTTTTATAGCATGTGAACTTTCTTCAGCTTTAAAAAAAAAAAATGTTAATGTATCTGTAGTTTCAAAAGATTCAGTTCCGTTTTACGGAACATTTGGAGAAAAAATAGGGAGAATTGTGCTTGATATTTTAAAAGATAAGAATATAAAGTTTTACTCCCAAATGTATCCAACCGAGTATATAATTGATAAAGGATTTATGAAAATAAAAAATGGAAAATCAATTCATGGTGTCCGATTAAATAATGGTGAAGTTATTAGTTGTGATTATGTTATTGAAGCTTTAGGGTGCAAACCAAATTCTGAATTTTTAGATGAAAAATTTAAAGACAATAATAATTTTATTGTTGTAGATAAACACTTTAAAGTTAAAAATTCAAATGATATGTATGCAGCAGGAGATGTATGCGTTTTTCCATATTTTGTTACAAGTATTATTTTCTTTTAATTTATAGAAATTTATACTTAATATATACATATTTTTTTTTTGTATAAATATAAACGTATACTTTATTTTATGTTCGTCTATTTTTGTTTTAATTTTTAGATGATTTAGTAAATATATGCCATTGGAATGTTGCAATACAGCAGGGGAGAATAGCAGCCCATAATATGCTTAGTGCAGAAAAAAAAGAGTTTAATTTTATGCCTTTTTTTAATACTAATATTTTTGGTAAAAATTTCCGATATTGTGGGTATGTAAAAAATTATGATAAAATAATATATGAAGGTGATTTAAATAAATATAACTTTGTTGGATATTTTGTGAAAAATGATAAAGTTATGTCTATTTTAACTCTTGGTAATAATAAAATGGCAGCTTTGAATGAGTGTTTAACTAGAAACATGATACCAAAAGTTTATGAACTAGAAGGAGGTTTAAAAAATAGTGATAGTATGATTGCTTCTCTTAAAATGTAAAAAATTTTTTAAATAAGAAAAAGTTTTTTTTTAGTTTTATTCTTTTTAAGTAAAAAAAAAAAAAAAAAAAAAATTTCATCATAAATATTCCAAAATAATAATACACGAAGAAAAAGTAAAATTAGAAAATTTAAAGAAAAAAAAAAAAAAAAAAAAATCGAATTATAATAATTATAAATATATAAATGAACTGTACTTTTAAGATAATATGAAAATATATATTAGTTTTAAAAAAAAAAAAAATTTAATTTTTAAGAAAATATTGTAATAGAATATAATATAATATTTTCTTTTTTTCTAATTTTTTTTTTTTTTTTTTTTTTGATTACACTAAAAATAAAGTTTTTTTTTTAAACATTTATTCAAAAAAATATGAAATAAGAAAGATAATATAATTTTACGATTTTCAGTTATTTTTTATTTTTTCAAACGAAATAAATTAATTACATTTATTCTATGAATATATTTTTTTTTTTTTTTTTATTTTTGCTTATTGGTGATATTTACTTCTTTTTCAGAATGAATATTTTAGACTTATTTTTATTTAATAATTTTTGTTATATCAGTTTTCTTAACACACAGTTAATTTGTAATTTAATAATAACAAAATAACATCTAGCTAAAAAGTTTATTATACTTTTATAATAATCTATTTTTTTTTTTTTTTTTTTTTTATCTATTCTAACAAATTTTCGTAATTTTATTTTCTCTAATATTTCATTTTATTTTTATATGATATTCACTTTTTTTTAATTTTCTTTTTTATAAATATATACATATTTTTTATTTTTATTTTCACTTTTTATGTAAAATAACTAAAAAAAATAAAAAAATTTAAAATTTATATTTTTTTTTTTTTAATGCTTATTGATGCTAAAAAAGTATTTTAAATTTCATGAATTTAATTTTCATAAGTATCATACAGTTTGTTAAGAAATTTTTTTACCACAGAGATAAAAAAAGAAAAAAAAAAAAAAAAAAGATACAACAATATTAAGAACACAATATGAATAAAATAAAGTTAAATATAAAACATTAAAAGAATTTTCAAAAAATTCTCAATATATTTTTAAATTTTCATAATTCTTACATTTACTGAATAAATAAAAAAAAAAAAAATGTCATATGCAGCATGTCCTTTGAATTTTATAAACATTAATCAAAATCAAAAAGAAGGTAATTCTATAAAAAAACAAAAGGAAGAAAAGAGATACTAAATAAAATAATAATATAAAAAGTGTAAAAAAATAAATATATGATTATTTTATCATATACTTTTTCAATGTGTTTTAGATTTACTTAGATTTGAAGCATCTGCAATAGACAATTTTAAGCATTTAAAAATTATAGAATTTAAATCAAGAAGTATAGATAAATTAATACATACATACATACATAATATATATATAATAAAATTATTATACATAATATATATATATATAAAATTTTTTTAACCTTTTTTATCTTTTTTTTCTCAGTTCGTATTAGTTTAATAATTTTTGTAATTTCTCTTTTTATTTTTCTTACCTATAAATTCAGAAATAATAAAATAGTAATAAATATACACACATATATATGTATATAATATATTCATAATAATTACACATTATTCACTTCAGAAAATATATATAATATATTTCGTAAAAAATTTTTTTTTTTTTTATTTTTCACAGATAATTGAAACTTCAAATAACATACCTTTAATTATCTTTGTTTCATTTTTTTTCTTCTTTTTACTTAAATATTATTACAAGAATTTATTTAAATCAAAAAAGTATTTAATTAAAAATAATCTATAATTCATTAAATATATGAATATTTATTTTTAATATATATTTTTTTTTTATCTTTTTAGTTATATAAAAAGTTTAAACAAAACATTAAAAAGTTTTAATTTGTATCTTGATAAAAAGTAAGTTTATTTAAAAAAAAAAAAGGAAAAAAGAAATAAAAGAAAAAAAAAAATAATTTATGTAAATTGAATTTATGATAATATATATTATATACTAATAAAATGTTTTGTTTATTTCCTTTTTAAGAAGTTTAAAACTTTGTATTATAGGTTTAAAAAAAGAGTAATATTTCATTATATTTATATACAACCTTATTTTAATATATTATATACTTTGTAAAAAATATTAGATTTTTTTTTTTTTTATTTTTTAAAAATTCTCATATTAAATTATTTTTTCTTATTCTACTATATAACTTTAAAATGAAAAAAAAAAAAAAAAAAAATTAAATTATATTTGCAATTTAAGCAAATTTTTTTTTTCTTTTTATGTTAATTTTTCATTTAATTATAAATTATTATAAATAGACATTTTTAATTTTTCTTATATATTTATGTGCAATTTCTTCTCCTAAAGTATTCACAACATTTTCTAAAAAGTTATATCTCTTCTTATTTTTGCATTCCTATAAAGAAAAAAGGATGAAAAAAAAAAAAAAAAAAAAAAAGAACATATTTATAAATTAAATTTTCCAATAAGTTTCCACTTTAAATTTATTTTTAATAACTTACTTCTCTATATTCAAGTACTAAATCATTGATTTTTTTCATTGATTCTTTCATTTTTTCTTTTTGTTGTTCTTTTCTATACCACTTCTTTTTACCAACAACCATATTATCACAAAAGTGATTTGTTCCCGTGTAAAAATTTTTGTGCCAAACCCATGGCAAATCTTAAAAAAAAAAAAAAAATATATATATATATATATATAAAATAAATAAATTTAAATAAAAATGAAAAAGAAATAAGAAATTATATATATACCATGCATATAATACTGTTTTTCAATGTCTGCTTTATATCTTCCTGATAATCTATTTAAAAAAAAAAAAAAAATATTTTAAACAATATTGCTTCATAACTTCATAAGTAAAATAAATTTACAAAAATTTACAATATGTTGTAATTATTTTTGTTACATTCTTTATATTTTTCTTTTAATAAAAAAAAAAAATATATTGTAATAACATATTAATGAATATTTTTTTTTTTTTTTTTTTTTACACAGGAGGATGAAAATTTCCTAATTCATCTTTATTAGGCAAAATTGAAAAAGGAATATCGTAACTTTTTCGGCTACCTCTTACATAACATTTTAATGGGTCAAAAATTTCATGATTTCTATACAAAACATCATGAATTAAAAATATAACAAGTTAAAAATAAAATAAATATAATTTAACTACCTAGAATTCCAATTATCAAGTCTATATTTTTTGTCTTTATTTAATTTTACGTATGGATTAAAAGTAGATTTATATCTAATTTTATCAAAAGTATTATAACCGTATGCTCTTCTTGGTGTTCCTTTATATTTTCAAGTTTACAAAAAAAAGGAAAAAAAAAAATATATATATGCATTTATATGTTTTGATAAATATTTTTTTATTTGTTAAATTTTCTATTATTATTTACCAACACATTCGGACATATAACGAGGTTTTTTTTTAAATTTTTCTAAAATAATGTAACGAGATAAATAAGGTACTTCTCTTAATTTTCTATCCTTTAAAAAGTAAAGTTAAAAATAAATTATTATTAAAAATTGTAAAAAAATGGTAAAATTTATTTATATAAAAATATATTTATTCATAAAATCTAACTATAGCTGTAAAATAATTTCTCTTTCCTTTAAAAACATTTATATTCATTGTTCATTTTTATAAAACTATTGGTATTTTTTTTTATTTAAATATGAATGTTTAAATTAGCATTTTTATTTTTTTCTTTTTATAGAAAAAAAAATTATATATATATTTCGAAAAAAAATTGTATTAAAAAAGAAAAAAAATTTAGTAAATGTTATTATATAAAATATTTATAAAATGAAAAATATAAAAAAAAATAATTAAAAATTACATAATATGTACTTGAAATAGTTTAAGTCAAAAAAATTTTTCCATCCATATTTTTTTATTTACATTTTATGTAAAAAAAGAAAATGCACATAAATGTATATTATGATTTTCTTTGAATAAAACTATATATACACTAATTTTTTTATTTTTATTTTTTTATTATATATATATCTTTTTAAAGTTATCATAATTTTGATATTATCTTTTATGTGATATTTTATGCACTATGTAAATCATATTAATTTAAATGTTATTTTTTTTTTTAGATAATTTTGAATTTTTCATTAAATTTAATTATTTTAATATATGTTTGTATTTTATGTAAAAAAAAAAAAAAATTATAACAATATTATATTTATATTTTTTTTTTCTTTTTTTTAAAAATTAAAACTTCTGTCATTTTATATTTAATATATAAATATTTTTATAAAAAATGTTTTTATTATCATATACAACAAAATCGTATATTATTTACAATTTATAGTGATGAATAATTTATACTATTCAAAAAAAAGAAAAACAAACAAAAAAAAAAAATAAAAATAAAAATAAAAATAAAATATAATAAATATTTAAGGATGTGTGAATATTAGAAAAAATAATTATAAAAAAAAAAGAAATTATGAATATATATTTTTAAATATTTGATAGAAAAATTTTATAAACATTTTGATATATATAGAAAAAAGTTTATACATACGTTTTATATACACACACAATTAGAAATGCACACTTAAATAACCAAAACTAATTTTTGAAATTATTATAATATTCTTATTTTATATACATATGTATACTTTTTTTTTTTGATTCTTTTGATTTTTTTTTTTTTTTTTTTTTCATATATTTGTTTATTTTGTTATTTTCTTCTTATTTTTTATGTGTTTCTATATGCGTTTATATATTAGTAATATTTTAGAAAATTTTTGTTTTAATGATAATAAATATATCTACATTTTAAAATAAATAAATTTATTAGTTTATATTTACAATATATTTTAATAAAAATTAAAATAAGATAAATATTTCATTTTATTCCTATAGTTTCAATTTTAATATACATAAAAACAAATGCTTTTACACATACATTTGTATAGTTTAGGTCGGTTTTATTTTTTTTAATAATCTTATTGTATTTATATATACATTATTATAAAGATAAAAAAAAAAAAAAAATAAATTTGTATATAAGATGCATTTTTATAAAATATTGTTATTTATATTTTTTTTTTTATTTTCTTTTTTTATTACGTATCTCCCTTTATTTTTTTTCTTTAAATCTAATTAAGTATTTTAATTATAAATATGATAATTATAAAAATATTCTAATAAAAAAAAAAAAAAAAAAAGAAAAAGAGAAATAGTAATATGTTTAATTGCAAAATGGAGGAATATTCAAGTTATGAATTTAAAGACAACTTAACTATAAATATAATTAGAACAAATATCGTTAAAAGACGTTTTTGTAGTTATACGGTAAATATTATTATAAATACATAAATATATAAATTATTAAATAAATAAGTTTATGAATTTATATTTTTATTTTTATTTTTTTTTTATATACTAACTATAGGAATATATTTTAGAATTTAAAGTTTTAAATAGTCAGAAAATTTTAAAAAAAAGATTTTCAGATTTTTTCACTTTTTATATACAATTAAAAGATGAATTAAATGATAAATTTAATGAATGTTTAGAAAAGGTATTTACAAATTTTAAAATATAAATTTATATATATATATATATATATATATATATATATATATTTTTTAATTTTATCAATTTTGTTTTTAATATGTTTTAACAGATAAGTGTTTTACCTTCAAAGAAATTATTTGGTAGATTTAATTATAATTTTATAGAAGAGTAAGAAAGATAAAATATGATAAAATAAAAAATAAATTTGAATATATAAATAGATAAATAATATATATATATATATTTTTTTTTTTTTTTGTTACATCTTATTTATTTAATAAATTTTATAATGTTTTTTTATTTTATATTATTAGGAGAAGGCAAAAACTTGAATTATTCTTAAAAAATATTGCAAAAAATAAAAATGTATATTTATGTGATAATTTTTATGATTTCTTATGCTTAGATAATATAACAAAATATTTATTTAAATTAATGTGTACTAAAATTAGTGATTATATTAATATACAGAAATTTTTGAAAAAAATAAATTATATTTTATTTATGTCTAGAAGTAATACATTAAAGAGTGCCGAATGTGATATTATAAATTTTCTTTTTCATATAAAGAAAAATTTAAAATTAAACAATGAAATGAAATTTTTTATTTTAAATATTTTTCTTCATCATTTAACTTATACAAAAACTCCAGAAAATTTATTAAATGTTCAATTAATGAAATTTGCTTTTGAAATTATTCATGAAAATTTATTAGGTAATTATATTCCTATTTATATTAAAATATATATATATATTTTTTTTGTAATTTTAAAAAAAAAAAAAAAAAATTTCTTCTTATAAATTTAATACTTTATTTTGCATTTTATTTAATACTTTATTTTGTATTTTATTTAATATTTTATATAATATTTTATATAATATTTTATTTTTCATTTTATTTTATTTTCTTTTTTTTTTTTTAGGAGAAAATATAAATGAAGTTTTGTTAAAAACATCTTCGGAAACAATATTACGAATTGTAGATAAAAAAAATTATGTATTTTTAGAATATTTAAAAATCTATAATTTTAAAGAAATATGTACCATTTTTAATATAATAAATAAAAAGAAAGAAAAAAAAGATGATGAAAAAATTGATAACATTGCATTTAATATTTATATATTAGTATCATTATTATTATTATCTTCCATTCATTTAAATGAAATTCAAAATTTTTTTTCAATGAAAAGTAATTCAAATAAAGGAATCAGTATATTAGGTTATATGTATGATAGTCAAAATGTTAATATTCAAATTATATGTTGTATTATTTTGTCTCTATTAATAATTAATAAAAAAATAAAAGATGAAGAAGTTATATATAAGACAAAAATGTCTATTTTGTTAATTCAAAATGAAATACATAATATAAAGAATGTGGATTATCAATTAATTGAAATTATTTGTAGTAAAAAAAATATTAGTTTATTAAATAATATTCTTGAATCACTACTAAAAGATAAAGTTATAAAATACGATCTTAATTTAAATGATATTGATAATTTTGAAAAATATAAAATTGAATATAATCCCTTAGAAAAAGACTTATTTTATGAACAGAAAGTAAAGTATGGAGATTTTTCAAATAATGATATTATTTTACAATTTATTTTATTCATTATTAATATTGGTATAAGTGAATTCTTTATACTTAAAAGAAATTATAAATTTAAAATGAAAAAAAATTTATTGAAAATAAAGTTGAGGAAAAATAATATATATAGAAATAAAAAGATGAAATTAAAAATAAATGATAAGAAAATTATGTTAAATGATAAAGAAGATGAAAACAAATATTTGTTACAAATAAAAAATAGTGATAATAATAAAAATGAAAAGATTGAAAAAAATGACGACAACTATAGTATATATGGTATCGAAATTGGAGAAGAAAATGAAGAAAATTATGAAGAAAATTATGAAGAAAATAGAAAAAAAAAAACAGAAAGGAAAAAGCAAAATGTAAAAGATCAATTTATAAAAAATGATGATAATAGTAATATTGATATTTATGAAGAAAAGGACGATGAAGAAAAGGATGATGAAGAAAAAGATGATGAAGAAGATGATGATGAAGAAGAAGATGATGAAGAAGAAGATGATGATGAAGAAGAAGAAGATGAAAATTACAATGAAGATGATATTGATAAAGTTAGAAAAGAGGAAGAAAATGAAATATATAATATTAAGGAAGAACATATGAAGAAAAAAAAAGAAGATTCAGAATCTACTACGAGTTCATGTATATCCCCGTTGTATTCATTCTCAAGTGATTGTAATAGTCTTTGTTATGATGAAAATGAAAATTCAATGGAAATCAATTTAAATATGGATCCTATAAAAAATGTATGCTATGAAGATGAATTTAGTTTAGATTCTGGTAATATAAAAAATGATATATTTTTTCTTAATAAAGTTAAAAAAAGTAATAATTCAAAGGATAATAATTCTGTTTGTTCAAATAATGATTCAATATATAATAAAGATATTAAAGGTAATCAATATAAAATCAAAGAAGAAATAAAAAATTTGCATGAAACTAGAAAAAAGTATGTTAGAAGAATAAGAAGAATAAATGAACAAATAATATTAATATTGTGTAATGAAAAAATGATTCAAAATATTTATAAATGTACAAATTTAGATAATTATAAAATAAAATTTTATGCATCACTAATACTTTCATATATACCAGATATTAATGAAATGATCACCAATAATCATACTCATGAAAATGTAGATAATGATAAATGTAATAATGATAATAACTATAATAATAGTGAGAATAATATGAATATAAAAGAAGAAATAAAAAATTTAGAATATTTTCCAAATGAAAACATGGAAACTTTTTCTAAATATCCATTTGCTACTGACACCATCTTGATAAAAAAAAACAATAAAAATTTTATTTGTAGTGTTGAAGGAGATTATTATAATTATATATATAAATTTAATATTTTAAATAATTTACTATTTTACTTATATAATGAAACTTCATTTTATGAACACATTTTAAACAGTGTAAAAAATTTTATTTCTGACCAAAGTTCCATTATTAATTTAAAATATTTGAAAATTAAAGAAACAGAATTAATAAATACCATGTCATTTGATGATTTAAGGGGAAATAGTAAAAAGAGGATGAAGAAGAATGACAAGAAAAAAAAAAAAAAAAAAAAAAAAAAGGAAAATTTTGATATTCATGAAAAAATAAATAGTAGCGAAAGTATTATATATGATTATAATAATAATAGTAAAATGAGTAGTGTGATAAATGAAGAGAATTGTAAAAATGATAATAACGAAAAAAATTGTACAAGTAATAACTTAAAGAGAATAAATAATAAGGAAGATTTAATGAATGAAGAAAATGCAATTGTAGAGAACGAATCAAATAATAATCAATGTGTATTATATGATGATTCGAAAATATATAATCATATACAATGTTTATTTAGTTATGTTTCTAATTTAAGAAAATTTGGTTTGCTAAATAATTTAATTGTACAAATGTATATTAATATAAGAAAAAAATTGAAATCTCTTGATATGAACTTTTTATTTGATATATTAAAAAAAAAAGTAGAAGAAAAAAATGAAATGAAAAAAAGTATTTGTAGTTTAAAAAAAGAATATGAATATGTTAATTTTACATATAATGATTACATAAACTTACAATATGAATCTAATAAATATATGAGTATAATTGAAAAATTATATGAAGAATTAGAAGAAATTGAGAAAAAAAGAAAAAAAGTCCTTCGAAAACACAAATATGTTCATATTAATGTTTGTAATTACAGAAAAAAGCTAATTCATATTGAGAAAATGATTGAAGAATCTCCATCAATTAAAAAATGTTTAAATGAAGAATTAAATAAAATAAAAGGAAATATTGCTCTTTATAAAAAAGATAAAAAAAAATTATCTTTTTTTATTTTATTACATAAATTTTATTTAGATAACTTTAATTGTGTACTTAATAAATTAAAAGTAATGAATAATTTATATGGAAATATAAAATTACTCTCAACTGATTTTGATAAAAATAAGAATATAATATTAAGCGAAATGGCTTGCTTGATTTCTAACGATATTATATTAGCTGATTTGCTGATGGGTAAGATAAATATAAATATGGATGACGAGAATTTTTCTCTTTTATTAGGAAGAGAGAAAAATATAGATAACTTCAATTATAATATTTGTAATGAAAATAAATTGATAATTATTAATAAAGAAAATAAAGTAACTAATAAAAAGGATGTTGACTTATTTAAAGTTAATGATATCCTTAATGAAAAATACAAATACTATTTTAATGATGATAATATTTTAAACATGGAAGAAAAAAATATGAGTGATGATTTTAAAAATTTAAATGAAATGGAATTTTATAGTAGTGATAGTCAAACGGTAGACAGAAGAATAAATCAAAATGATAAAATTAAAAATGTTCAAAATAATTTTAATGAATATAATATTAACAATCATAATCTTTATTATAATTTAGATGAAACATTAGAGGATTTTAATAATGATAGAAAATATATAGAAGAAAAAAAAGGAAAAAACAAGCAAAATTTTTCTTACAATAATAAAATGTATAAGGAAAGTTTTAAAAAAGATTTTAATAATAACAGTACTGAAATGTATGAAAATTATGATAGACAAAATAGTGAAATGGATGATGGAGAAAATGAAGAAGCATTTAATACAGAATTTGTTTCGAGTGATGAAGATAATGCAGATTTAAAAAAAAAAATTGATGAATTAAATAATTTCAAAAATAAAGATTTAAAATCTTTATTACCAGAAGATATAAAAATTGATGATTCTATGAATAAAAAAATATTTCTTGAAATATTAGATATCATAAAAAATCGTAAAAAACAAATTGAAAAAATAATATCACAACAAAATAGTCAAATATATAAAAATATACATAAATATAACAATCTTTTAAATAAATGTAATATTCAAATTAATGTAAATCAGAAAAAATATATTAAATTAAACAAGCAAATTTTATCTATTGACACAAATTGTATGATTAAAAAATCTGAATATATATATAAAACCATTAGAGAGTAATAAAAAAAAAAAAAAAAAATTAATAATTAATTAATATATTAATTCATTAAATTTGAACAAACTTAAAATTAAGTAGTAAAATATAAATATTTTTTTCAAATTTTTTTTATATATATTTGATAAAAATATTTTTGATTTTCAAATAATTTACATACATTCCATTTTATTATAGATTTTTATTTCATATTTTTAGTTAATACTAATATTTTTTTTTTTTTTTTTTTTTTTTTTCTTTTTTATAGGTGGGATGATAAGATAAACATTTTAAATGAAGAAATTAAAAACGTAGAAAATGAAAAAAAAGAAAAAGAAAAAGAAATTTCTTCACAGAAAAAAAAATTAGAAAAAAAAGAAAAAGAAAAAAACCTTAAAAAAGAAGAACTTCGATTATTAGTTACAGATATGTATAAACATAATAATAAAATAAAGAAGAAATACAAAAAAGATCAGAAAATAATTTTATTAATATTATATAATTCGTGGTTTTTATATCATTATATTTATATAATATATTTGAATACATTGAAATTAAAAAATTATTTATCTTATAAACAAAGTTTAAATGAAATTTGTCTTTCTTCAGCTAAAGAAACTATTTTAAATATTAATTTTTTTTCCGAATTGTTAGATGAAAATGATTTTTAAAACAAATTTTGTTTTTGGTTTTTTTTTTTTTTTTTATTCGTTTAACCATTTTAAAATATTATAATTTATTATTTTTTTTTTTTTTTTTTTTTT